TATTTGATAATTTGATGGACTTTATTGACTTCCAGTTTTTTCACATTAATATTCTTTTTGTTTCTAGACATATTTAACAGGGTCAAAAATATGGCTGAGATACGATCACCCTCATACCATTGTAATCAGGAGAAAAGTGCACTGAAGTCCAGAACTGAATCACTGGTCTTAAAATCCCATGATATGATGCTTTGTCTGTGCCTGTAGGAGTCGCAACATCAATTTCACTTGCCCCACTACAAACTGAGGTCATATAGGTGAAGTGCAGAACATTAACTGTGTCTGAAACAACTCCCTTCACTATTTATTACAGGACGTGGTGCACTGTATTAACTGTCTGTTGTTTGTGAGGGTAGAAAATGTATAAATTATACAGCGCCTTTAAAAGAAATCCTGTAGTTTTTGCTCTGGTTTTATCTCTCATGTCATGTTGTCAAGTCAGACTAGCACACATTTATATTTAACCACACTAACTGAGACAGACCACTGGTTGCCTCGTTGAGAGATAGCATATCGCTCTACTGTAGTCAATTCACTGTGCGTACTGTAGAGTTAGAGTGCCTTTGGGCAGGGACATTGTCAGAGCTTTTGTCTCATCTGACATTTTTCATTTTCTTTCGCTCTGATTTTCACGAGCTGTCTCGTTCAGTCTCCTCTTTTTGATTAGATTTGATATCTTTCCCAACTGTATTCAAAGAGGCAGAACTCTGTGTCTCCTATAATAAGCACTCAATAAGGTCCTCTAACAAGTGTGCTTCATATTTTATACCACTGCTCATATTTTGTTTCTGCAATTTTTCCTAATCTGCATTTTTCCTCCCTCATAATGGGTCTCAATCAGCCTGGTATACCTGCGGCATTATTAAAGGGCAGTTCCACTGCTCCCCTTGCTGCAGGGAGGATCGTAGAACATTGGCTTCCAGGCAGTTTCTTACATCATTTACTTTTTTAAATAAATTATATCGATATTTTTTTTACCACTGCCTTGGTTGCTTTTGGTAACAAAATGCAAGAGATGTAAGATGATGATGTAAGATTTACCATAGGCAACCAACTCATTGTCTCAGTGGTCATGCTTTAGAAACTGTTTTTGAATATGGGAATGTTCTAACTTTTTTTTTAATCTCTATGTCCTTACACCTTGACTGCTTTGCTATGTCTCTCTTCTCCTTATCCTCGAATGCTTTCTTTTTATCCCTTTCTAAATCTCTGTCTGTATTTGGTTTGAATAAATTCGAGATCCATTCCATTCTCATTATCTTTAGGAAGGAAAGCTGCAACCAGCATTACCACAAGCCAAGCAATCAGCCAAATCCAAACAGGCAGCTTAAAGGGGCAATGTGTAGAATTTAGTGACATCTAGACGTGAATTTGCTTGTTGCAGCTAAATACCCCTCACATCACCCTCCCCCTTCCAAACATGAAAGAGAACCTGTGGAAGTCTTCAGTTGTCATAAATACTCTAAAGGTTTTAGTCTGTCCAGTCTGGACTATTGAAAAAAATACATGGCGGCCTCCATAGAGAGAGTCACCTCCTAATATAAATATAGTATTATATAGTATTTTTAAAGTATTTATATATAGTGTAATTCTAGGGTAAAGCAAACAATTCATACAGTTTAGATTTGTATATTCATTTTCTGCCAAGAGATCCCTTTCACCTTAATCTTACACACTGAACCTTTAAGAACATTCACCACACTAGTTAATAATAAATCTAAGATGCAGCTGGCTTCAGTCACTCATTGGATTCTGAGTCCAGATTCATATAATTGTATATTTACAAAATCCCAAAATATTATGATGTCATAGGAAACATAACGATTTGATGGATAGACAAGTTCAACAAAAAGAGCTTCTCCAGCAAAGATTTGCTGACTAGCACAGGATTTATACATTATCCAGTACAGCTGCACAAAACCTGCCTTTGGTCAGTGGTGATCATTGCGCAGTGGGATAATATCATTCATTCATTTCCCATATCCACATTTCCCAAGCCAGTGGAACAAATTGCCTTTCAACTAAAGCCTCAGTAAATTACAGGCACACAATGCAGAGTGACGTCAAAATCATCCTCTAGAAAGTTCTGCTTGACATCGTGATATTTTTTATAATGTACAGACCCTGAGATGAAGTCATATGAATTGTGGAATCACAGACCCATTTCTGCGCTGTGCATTGTATGACATACTGCACTTATAATTATTTGTGACTCATAATTTCTCAACATTTTTCACAAGAGCGGCTGGTCATGCTTCAGTCCATAAAGCTGCAATCTCTAATTACATGGCAGCAAAGTATTTTCCCCCCATCAACTGAAATTTTATTGGAGACTTTGTCTTTTCAACATCAAATTAAAATAAAGTATATAAAGCTCTCTATCCACAAACTGAGTGCATGTACTCAACCTCCAATTCTGGAGGAGCTTTAATATCTCTTTCAGTGTAATATTGATGATCGGTGTGGACCATACAGAATAAATACACACACATCCCCTTGTTGCTGTAAAAGTGGAGACTGTGGATTTTCAATAACAACAACTTGACTTTTGTTACATCACCTTCTCTTTCCCATTTGCCTTGTGTTTCTCTGCTGTATCCTCCAGAGAATAGAATAATTACACTACGGAGCAAAAAGTTGGTGAAAACAAACTCTCTGTACTCAGATTTGTGTAAAATGTGAATCTCATTGCATGTTTGTTTTGTATTTGCTTGCTTCCAGGTTGACGGGTACAACCCTGCCCTCACCAGTGATATCCAATAAGAACTGGCTTCGGATACACTTCACCTCAGACAGCAACCATAGGAGAAAAGGATTCAGTGCACAGTACCAAGGTATTTCACACTAACACTTTTACACCTATAGTGTGAATACTACAGTGTGTTGGTGTTAACCTGTGTGCGTGTATGTGTGTGATTGGAAAAGCAACACAGAGATCGGTCTCTCTTTGGAGGCCATCACAAATATATCTACACACACAATGGGGGGGATTTGGGTTATACTGTCGCCCAAGTACAGAATAAATCAAGGAATACAAATAATAATTTAAAAAAACATTAGACCTGACTAAAAACATGATTGTATTCATAAGTTAAATGTGCAAGTGGATGCAAGCACACACGCCCAACCTCACAATCTGCATTTGCTGTAAAGGAGATTAGCATTTATTGGGAACGGAAGTCTTAAATCACCTGACTGGACTGGCTTGACCTCTCCTGTCTATAATTGACTGGTTGTATGGTTTGATTGGTATATTAAGGCGCGTATTAGTTTCCACGTGGCGGCTCAGATTTAATTGGCTGCTCCCAACACAAAACACGGCGAGCGTCTCTATCTGTGGCTCTCACCCGCCGTCTGTCTCCATGCCATTTTTCATTCTACCCCAATGCTGACTCTCTTGTCCTGAGTCGTCTGTCTCACTCTTGAGAAAGAGAGAAATGTGTTTTCATGCCAAGTCTTAGTGGAAGTTTCACATTGAAAATGAAGTTTGGTTGTAGCACAGATTTTTCTGTTATTCTCTGCAATGTTTCTGCTTTGGATTAAAGAGATGGGATACATTTTAATGCTGCTCCCTCTTCTTCTCCTCCTCTTTCATATTGTCCCCACTTCTGTCTTTCAGTCTTTTCTACTGTTCCCTGTTCTAATTTTCTCTGCCACTGTTGCATTTGTCACAGGTTTGTTACAGGAGGGGGAGTGTGAAGCTGGATTGCAACTCTGAAAATAATAACAAGTGCCTCAGGAAAAAGGTCTAATAATGTATGATTTTAAATTAAATGACGTTATTTTCTTTCTGCAGTTAAGAAAGCAATAGAGCTGAAGTCCAGAGGGGTGAAGATGATGCCCAGCAAAGACTCCAGTCACAAAAATGCTGTCTGTAAGTAAACCACTTGTCATATAGACATCACTTTTAAAAAGAATATTTTTAAAATACACTTAACAGTCAATATCTAACCTGCTTTAACAAATAAGTTAATTGCAAACCAACCCACAAAGCCCCAAATGTATCTTTTTGCAGTGACTTCTCAATAAGCAAGTCTAGCAAAAAGAACAGGGAAGCAAAATGTACTATTTCATCGCATGAATGCTCTTGTCACAGTGTCAACTCAAGTTGTTTTTCTTCACTCAAGAATGTGAAAAACATAATAACTCACAAGCTGTGAAGCTTGTTAAGTACATTTTTAGTTAAGACAGAGAGGAGTGTTGTTTTACGTCTGGGGTCTGTTGTTTATTTGGAAACAGGACTGACCAGCCCAGCTCGTAATCTTCTGCTCGGTAATCATGTTGCTGTCGACCCCATATGCAATATAAACAGGAGAGAATATCATTTGTCTATTTTGATAGTTTATATCTTTTTAACTTTGCAATCTTCTTGAAACCCCATCTCTCCACACACACACACACACAGTGCACCACCCTGTTCTCATGTGAAGATGAGAATCTGACTACAGCCCATAATAGACTCACTGCAGTACACTGACTCACTTTCTGCTGGCTGTCGCTGGTGCTTCCCAGTGGATAAGTCTTTTGTATTACCCATTTCAGCTGTTTATTATGTTTTAACTTTCCACGTTTTCACAAGCTAAGTGGTGTCTGGAGAGTTGGTGTAGTGACTCTCGTTGGCCAAAGCTGGAAACGTGCCCACTGCATCTTATTCATTCCTTTTGGAGGTGCAGCCAAGATTCCAGTATGAGAGTGTTCTCCGTCAGGTGGAGACATTAATGAGTAAACCAGTGGCAGCTCATCTCTGAGACTAAAGAGTCTAAAGGAAACCAGTAGAAAAGAATCTCCAATCCATTAAGAACATTAATGATGATCAGTGGTTTAATAAAATGTTTAAGTATTTCTTTAATTTCCATGTCTTTACCCTCGTCCCTCCCGTCGTACACATCATAATAAAAATTATTTATGTGTACCTAAATGTACACATGTATATATTTACATGTAAATAGTCAGTCTTGATATGTATGCAGTGAATGTACACAGTCAATCAACCAAGCAATATGTTAATGAAATACAATTTTTAAAAAACCTGAATTGTTGAACAACCATGAGCATAATTGACAACATTGTAGTTTTTTAATAGGCTACACCCCTGAATCATTTAGCTTCCAGGACCTCTCTGATATAATTCGATGGACTTGTTCGAGCAGGTGTGTGTATATTGAGCCATTTCAAAATGATTAAAAAATGATAAGGATACAGAATATTTGTTATAAAAATGCAGATCTTCAGATTTTGAATTACATTGGGTGGTTTAAAATGTTTGCAATAAGTTACACATTGTATTTGAAATCAAACAGTAGTGAGATGTGAAGTCACAGTGAGAGTCTGAAGAGAGAAGTCTCTTATTTTCATGGTCACAACAGTTAATTTTTTTTTTTTTTTTTCAGCAAAGGTCTCGGGATGATTAGTAACAAACACACCATTACTTTGTTGTACTGCTTTCAAGTAATGGGCACAATAGGTGTCAGTTTTCATGGGTTATCTGGGAATTATGGGCAATTAAAAGAAAACTCTAGTGGCTGTGTTTACACATTTAAGTATTTACTCAGCTTCAGCTTTGTGATATCTTCAAATCCGGTGAATCATCTCTCGGTAGCTACAGGGATTAGAATACATCAGTCAAGTTTAAAAGGAAAACTGTGGCAGAGAAGCTCCTCAAGTCAAATCGTGAGCTGCGGAGGATCGTCTCTGTGCGTGTAGTATTTTATCAGAAGATCCATATGGGAGGTATGAGGCATGGAGTGTTTTTATCTGGACCTCAGGAAAAATGTTTCTCACCTCAGTGGCACTAACGGGAATCCAATTCAACTTAAACACCACATTGACTTCAAAGCAATAAAACAATGAATTGAATGATAAATACGATAAATATCTCTGCTGTATACTGGCTGACATATGTCTCGGAAGCTTGGAGATTCTTCTAGATCAGCATTCAGATCATCTGAGGTTTTTAATTATCACAGAAGCTCCAGCTCATACCTCATCCATTCCTTCGCATTTCATAATAAAACCCTCATCAATAATTCTGCTGATTTACACGCTCAGCCAAGCGTGTACCGGTGCAATTAACATTAGTGTCGTTTTGTGTGTATGTGGGTTAGAAAAAAAGAAATCCAGTGTGCTTGTGTGCCTCTTCATTTGTCCCTGCACTTAAATTTAAATGACTATATGCATTGTATATGTTTGAGAGTATGCGTGAACATGTGAGGAGGAAGAAGAGTATATGGTGCTTGGTGATAAGAGTTCAGATCCCACACACACTCTTTCTTTGCTTGACTCTTGCTTACACTTCACACAGTCAGATTTAAAAATATACGAAATGGTTTCCACATGGGAGAATCACCCTTAAGATTGCTTGCAGAGTCCAAATCTATTCAATATGCTTGTTACGAGAAGGGCCAGCAAAAAACCCCATCTTGTTGTGGAGTAACTCTCTTTCCATGGTGGTCTGCGTAGGTGTCTCATTTAGGCTGACATGTAAATGTTTTTAAATAAATTATGGGTAACACTTTATATTAGGGAACACACAAAGTGAACATATCCAAGCGCTTGATGTTAATTCATGTACAACGACTTCCTTTCTTACCATCAATAAGCAGTAATCAGGAGGTTATTAAGGGAAACTGTTAATCAATGGAGTAGTTGCAGAATAAGGTGTTTAAGAATAAGACATTAATAAGTGCTTTATAATGACTAATAAAGAGCCAATATGCCTCTAATATCCATGCTAATAAGCAACTAGTTAATGGTTTATATGCATTCCCTAATATAAAGTGTTACCAAATTATGTTACAGCCTATGCAATGTGATTTTTTATGGTTGTACCATAAACATACAGTAGGATCTGGGGCCCCAAATGTCTCCAAGAGTCTTTGACTTTTGTAAATGAACTTAAAACCAGAGGTGGAATGTAACAAGTACAAATAATTTACTGACTGTACTTAAGCAGATTTTTCAGGTATCTGTACCTTACCTGAGTAATTATTTTCCCAGCGACTTTTTACTTTTATTCGCTACATTTGAACACAAATATCTGTACTTTCTACTCCTTACATTCTCAAAACTGTATCGTTACTTGTTTTTACGCTTTTACGCACGGAGACCCTAAGCGACCGGAGGTTGGTCGGGCTGCCGTGGTAAACCGAGGTCGAGTTGCTGTATCGGTAATGATCCTACCTCAGGTTCACCTACGGAAACCTTGTTACAGCTTTTACTACCTCTACATAGTCAAGCTGGGTCGTCTTCTCAGCGCTCCGCCAGGGCCGTGACCGACTCCGGCGGGGCCGATCCGAGGGACTCACTAAACCATCCAATCAGTATAGCGACGGGCGGTATGTACAAAGGGCAGGGACTTAATCAAGGCCAGCACATTCCCTATTCATTTATTCCCTGTAAAAAATGATCCAGGTGCTCATGCAGGACCTCGGTTCAGTTCAGTCTTTATTATTCTGCCTGGAATTTGGCAGCAAAACTAGACTGTGTCCAGTGAATTTTTTCTCTCTGTCCCAGCTCTTTGCAGGCAACACTAGAGGAAAACTATCCTATTTTGTTTGCCCACAACTTTTTTATTTTGCCGAGTTATCAGAAGAGGCATGGTGTATCATTGAAGTTAAAAATTATTTTTTTCTTTTGTACTTAATTACATTTCAGAGCCTGTACTTTCTTACTTTTACTTGAGTAAATGAGTACTTCATCAGTACTTCTACTTTTACCAGAGTCTTGTTTTACACAAGTATCTGTACCTTTACTTAAAGGTCCAGTGTGTAAGATTTAGGTGAAAGGGAACAATCAGCAGAAATTTGTTTTCACTATTTAATTTTATCTAAATTGTATGAATTGTAGTTTTATTTACCCTAGAAAAGGCTCTTTATATTTAAAAACTTTATATTCAAATACTTTATATTCAAATACTTTATATTTACGTCGAGGGGATCCTCTCTATGGAGGCCGCCATGTTTTTTACATTAGTCCAGACTGGACAAACTAAACACCTTTTGAGTTCTTATGAAAACTGAAGCTACCACAGGTTATCTTTCATGTTTGGAAGAAGAGGGTGAGGTGACTTTGCAACATGCAATTTCAACACTAGATATCACAAAATTCTACACCTTGTACCTTTAAGTAAAGACTGTGAGTACTTTTGCCACCTCTGCTTAAAACAAAATCTAAGCCTAATTCTGCAAGCAGTAAAGCCTGCGGCGGACGTTCTTGTGATACACCTTTGCCTCAGGGGCTCTGCATTTGATCATGATGTTTAAGTACAATAATCACCAGTGGTTTTTGCACATGGGCTTAACGACTCTCAAAAGTGCAGATCCCCCTTGTAAAATTAGTGCGGCACTGTACAGAACTAGCTTTGTTATCTGTAATCATTATGTGGAGCTAAAGAATGATGATAATGACTGTTAACTGTGTTGTCCAGGGATCCCTTAATCTTTTTAAACTCCGGACCTAAATGAGTAATTTACTCTCTCACCACGGGACCCATGCTCATTAAAAACATGCTAGCATTTTTTTTATCATGGTGACCAAAACTGAGGAAATGTGAGCTCTGGATTGAAGGTTCAGGGAGATTATTCTAACACAGTACAGTTAGGCCATCAGGATGAGAACCAGGATCATTAAAACATTAAAGAAAAGTAAAGCCACCGTCCACTTTTAGTCCCAAATCAGTCTCTAAGCAACATTTCTGTACACTGTATGACTCCCAGTGGTGATATTATAGCTGTATGACAGAGCATGTGCAGTCTTTGTGTAATATACAATCATTACAGAGAAGTAGAGACTGATGATAATGAGTTTTCCCTGTCTAGAGAGGTGTGCTTATGAATCATAATCTAAAGGACTATCTGCAACAGCCTCTAGCCTATA